TGGTGGCGATGGCAGCAGCAGCAGTAGCAGTAGCAGTTACTATAATGACAAAGTAGGATCGAATATTATCGATAAGGGGATAAGTGCAGAAGATGATGGAGATGGTAGTAGTAGTAGTAGTAGTAGTGATGATACTTATTACATCATCATCATCATTGTCATCAGGTGGTCATGATGATAAGGGTAGTTTGTATGAGAGATCAATACGGTATAAGAAGGTATTCAGATTGCATAAAAGGCTTCGAGATAAAACAATTAGTAGTAATGATCATCAGATCAACATCATCAACATCAACATCATCAACATCATCATCAGCGTGTATTGATAATATCAATATCTCAGGTAAACCGGGTATCGAGTATGGTTATAATAATGCTAATACTCCAGCAGTATTAGCATCATCAATGCTCCCTCCTGAGCATAAGGCTCATACTTCATATAGATCTAATAGTGATAGGAGCGGGAGGATGAGGAGGATGATGTTGGTGATACCCAATGATGGTATCACTCATAAAAATGACCATTATCATCATTATCATCATGATGATGATGATAAGATTGATTATTATCATCATGTACTACACGAAACTCCATACATAGGGTCTACCCGAAAATATCAGCATACTACTACAACTACAACTACCACGATACCATCACAAAGTATCATTAAAAAGGAGGAGAAGAAGGTTGAAGGGGATAGGATAACTAAACCGTACTAGCATTTACTATATTGATAATTATTATTATATCTTAGTGTTATTCTTCAGAGTATCACATGATAATAGTAGAGAAGAAGTTAGTAGTAGAAAGAGCGGCAATGGGTGTCGCACTCATTATTCAAAAGTGGTTACATCAAAACATGTATCATCATCATCTTGGCATACTCCTCAAACATCATCATCATTATCGCATATTGGTAATGATAATAATACTAGTAAAGAAGATACTGATAAGGTATCTCCTGATCCTCCTCCTCTTCCTCCTTCTCCTTATACATGTTGTTATGATGGTATTGGTGGTAGTAATAATAATAAGAAGGCAATAGCAGTAGCAGGTATTATGAATATACTTAGAGTAGAGATCTTTGGTCTAAATCCACCTACTAATAATGATGTTATTAATGGTAAACGAGCATTATTTAAACAAGTATTACCCAATGGTCATAGATTATCTGATTTAGCTGTTATGCCTGGTAGAATGGAGTATTCATTAACCTATGGTAGTACTAACTACTACTACTTATTCCCTCATCTATTCACACCGCCCTATTATATATAAATCAGGTTTCTTATTATGTCTCGACGCGACTTTGGAGGACTTGACATATATGCCGATCTCATGTCTCCTTGGTGTAATAACACTTTTTGCATCATACCACACTTCTTCCATATTATTATTATCACAGGTACTGGGTTGGATATTCCTACATAGAATGCCATCGCCAACACAGAAGTCAGATATGGCCAGAGTTGCTATACTCGCAGTAACCACTACAATATTTATGAGGTAATTATCAACTACTACTACTGTCAACGTCACCTTATTATTATTGTCATCACTTCTTCTTTCAACAGATACGTCGATTTTTCAACAGTTTATCATTATATAAGAGGGCAATCTATGATGAAGTTATATGTTATGTTTAATACTCTTGAAACATTGGAGAGGTTAGTCCGACACTTGGGTTCAGCATTCAGTGATACTATGTTGGTAAGGGCACTTGCTACTACTACTACTACAACTAGTGGGGATAATAGTAATGACGATAATATTAAACATGATGATACTACTTTACATGATGCTGGTGGATTACTATTGTTGTTATCATTATCGAGGAGAGCTAAATTGATATTAGCTTGGTTATTTGAAGTCCTCTATACAACACTTCATACCTTTATGCATTTTACTAGGCTTATATGTTTAACAGTTGCTACTGTTGCTACGGATACTAGTATGTTTATGATAGTTGTTACAAATAATCTTGCTGAGATTAAATCAACTACCTTTAAGAGATATGATGCAAGAGGTCTATTCCCTATTGCATGTTCTGATATGGTAGAACGTTTCTACTTAGCAGTTGATATAGCTATAATGTTATATAGAATGTCAACTAGTCCACAAAAACATCCAATGCCTATGGCTGAGGTATTCTTTTGGATTGGTGTTATGGTATTCATTGAGATTGGTACTGATTGGTTCAAGTTCTGGTGTATATGTAAAAAGAATCTTCTTGAATCCAAGATATTTGATCAATATCGAGCGTTATTATTCCATGATGTACTACATTCACGATCATCACCATTAACATTACCATCATCACAACACAATACTACAACTACTACGGAATTACCATATCGTAATTCTTTGTCGGTATCACATGGCCCTACTACTAGATTATGTTTTTGCCCATTACCATTAAGTACTCTTATATTGAGTAACATATTATTACCTAATGTACCAGCATCCTCCACACAATGTACATGGAGATTTACAATGGCTTTATGGTTATGTCTCTTATTAACTAAGATGGTAATAATCATAGAAGTTTCACACTACTAATGCGTATCCCTCAGATAACAAGTATCCTTATTGTTGGCATGGCAGTTAACTCATCACAGGATACTGAGAACATACCAGATAAGCTTAAATCTGCCACGTACTAACTATACAATTATCAACAACTACATATCATGTCGAGTTTGAAATTATCATTACAAGTGATAGGATTCCTATCATAGAAAGCATGATTCAATGGTCGGATAACCTTTAGAAGAAAGACAGTATAAAGCAGTCAATTAAGAGGGTGCGTTTCTATTCTACTAAGTCTTGAAGTACACTCAAACACACCCCTGGTTCCCTTAGAAAAACGTACAGGGTGAGCGAAAACGTTTCCTTACAATTCTTACACTTTTCTTAGTTTAATGATATAGATCTACACAAGCGGAGGCTTAGTAAATCTCACACGGTTTACCCGTCGAGTTTCGGATAACGTGCACTCATCATAACGTGGTTTGTCTGTAATAGTAATAATAATTCCACATTTGGTGAGTGACACGGTGGTGACTTAATGCCGCCCCGGAAATTCTCGCTGCGCCACCAAAATTACTGAAAATGCCCTCAATTGCTGAATGCAACCTCAAGCTATTTAGCAAATGCTGAAATGGTCTTCACCCCTAGGATACTTTGGGATATCGATCACAATGGCGAGCGCTATTCACACCGACGACTGAGGAATGTTCCTCTATTTGAATAACCCCGTATTGATGATAATAACACAACTTCATATAAATTTTAACTTTATATGATGATACCGATGATAGTAGTGTACGGAGGCTTACATCAACATATATTGTTGATCTCTGTTGTTGTATCGCTCGCCTCATTAGCTATATGGATTGTTCGATGAGAGACGTGACGCAGTCGTTCTCGTGGGTTCTTATCCATTACATTATAATACGGTATCAACGAGTATGTCTGCGTTGGATTCCTGTAAGAGTACGGATGCAAGGCGATTCATATTGTGAGTAATTGCACATCATCATTAATGAAGATTGTGATACAATGGATGATGATGAGAATTGGTGAATTTGTTGATAATGTTACAGTAATGATATATGACTATTGCTATGATGATGGTAGCTTCAGGCATCATCATCTCAGCAGAGACCGCCACAACAAGTAGTACTATCACCTCAACAACAACAGCAACAACAACAAGTAGCATTGCAGCCTCCTGCTATTACTACCTTGATACCTCAACAACACCAACAAGCAGTAGGGAGACCAATAGTCGTTAGTAGTGATAGTAGTAGTAGACATCATGAAGATGATGATAATAATAGTAGGATAGATCTTGGTAGAGTCCTGTTACTGATAGGAAGAGGAGTTGCTATGGCATTTTGTGGTTCTTCACTAGCGAACCATGTTGTGTAAGTATTGACATACATCTATAATACTAATAAACATAATTTTGTAGGTTTCAACATTTTCAGAAGGTCCATCATCATCATCGTAGTAGTAGTAGTACCAGTGATAATAATATCTCATCAAAAGACATTGAGAACAATAGTGTGGTGGAACTAACATATCAAAACGGGCGCACTTGCAGATGTAGTACGAGTCAGATGTGCCCTTACAATAGGAGGGTAGCAAAATAACTCGAGTTGCATCGAGTGGAATAGAGATACACATGATGATGATGATGATGATGGCGAGTATACTACCTAATCATAGTTGTACTATTAAGGTAATTCTAGTGTTGTTAACTTCATATCAATGCTAGTTCTCCTCATAATCATCCTATAAAGTTAATTATGATTACTCATAGAGGAAGTTGACCATGAATATATTGCTTATTTCGACACGACAAGACAACGATTAATGGTTATTACATAACCATACTTGCTCACGTATCTCATCCTTAGCAACCCCGGCAGCAAAAGTGCTTTTAAGTAATGATAAGCAATACTTATTGACCCGAATGCTTATTAAGCATTCCCATATCTGAACATGTAGTCGTACTACTTTGATCATCATATTGATATAGAGTTGTTAATGTACTAAGTCGATTCATCAACGCCAGCAACACTATCACCATAATATGTCTAATACAATCTATCTCGTTAAGAGACACGATAAGAAACATAATGGCACTCATTCCCACATTGATAATAGATACTAGAGAAGATGTATACTAGTGGTATAATACTACTATGGTAATCATCACTACGTAGTCATCCTGAAGTGGATATATCTCATCCTCCTATTGACGGGTACAGGGTTATTGAGTTACGATAGTAGTCAATATAGTGCAGTAAGAACTCAGATAACTGATGTGTTAGTGTAAAGTACTCTTCTTCTTCTTGTTAAGTAGACACATGTGAATGAGATGATGGGAGTATATACGGTGATATCTGCATAGATATGATAGTAGTCACATATAGAGATACGGAATACTAAAATTATTCAATGTATTAGTACTGTTATCATAATAATCATCATCATAGTCACTTCCAACACAAGAACAACACGATGATAAGAATATTGTTGTTGTTGTTATTGATATATATTATATAGATGATATAGTATATACAGACCAGCTGTTGCTGCTA